TGGCCAGCCCTGCATCTTCTTTCGTAACCTGCTTTTTTCCATTTAACACTGCAAACATTTCCCCATATTAAATGGGACATAGCATAATTTACTTAATCCATCCACTACAAAATAACCATCTAAATTGTTTATATTTTGATATATATATGTAAAATAATGCTGTATTAGGGGAAAAAAAAGTATGGTCCACAAGCCAGAAATCCTAAAACATGAGATGATCAGAGAAACAGTGCGATGGCACCTGACTGCTTGAACTTCGCACCTGCAAGCACCAAAACAATTTGCAGAAATGATCTGAAGCTCCTGTCAGAATCTCAGAAACGTCACAAAACTGGAACAGCTAGAAACAAGCAGCTTTCTCCACACTTTAGATAAATATCCTTTTGCTGGCAGGTCAGTTAAATGGCAAAACTTCTCACATTACCTCTGTCAACAAGAAGGAAAACATCGCAATGGCTCAGTGTCATGACAGGAGTGGGCCACACTCTGCACCTGTATCCCACGGCCCAGGTGGCCTGGGGAAGGGGTTCAGTGCCCCAGATCTGAAGACACCTAAGAGATCAAATGACAAACCAGACTTAAAATGACCTGGCTAGAAACAAGCAGCTTTCTCCACACTTTAGATAAATATCCTTTTGTTGGCAGGTCAGTTAAATGGCAAAACTTCTCACATTACCTCTGTCAACAAGAAGGAAAACATCACAATGGCTCAGTGTCATGACAGGAGTGGGCCACACTCTGCACCTGTATCCCACGGCCCAGGTGGCCTGGGGAAGGGGCTCAGTGCCCCAGATCTGAAGACACCTAAGAGATCAAATGACAAACCAGACTTAAAATGACCTTCAGTGGACAAGATGCAGAACCAAAACCAATAAGCTGAAGGTGACACAGGCAAGTGCAGAGGCCATGCAGGAGGGAAATACAGAGCATGAAGGATGGTCACAGGCCTCGCAACCTGAAAGGTGGCCACTAACACAAGTGCCCCAGACTGCAGTGAGGAAAGTGTGTGCCCAGATGGGAAATGCTCCTGTCCAATGACTCCTGACAGAGTCAGTGCCTGGGGCTCCAGACATCCCTGGAGGACAGGGCCAAGCTGGGCAGGGCAGAGCACACCACAGGTTCCCACACCTGGGAAAGGGTGAAACTGCACAACTGTCCCCAACAAAGACCGAATGCAGCCTGACAGGCAAGATCAGAACCATTCAGGGCTGCCTGGGCGACCTTGGAGTGAAGGGGCTGTGGGGAAGCTGACCACTGTCAGGAACACCATTGGAACGCCTCTCTCTGGACTGGCCTGCTGTTAACCTGCTGGCCTCACACTGTCCCTTTCTCCCTGACTACCCTTAGCACACCCCATGCCTTCCTACAGCCTACACTTAGCTCCTCCTTCCCCAGACCCCTTTCTCCACAAGTCCCACACTCATGCTCTCTCTCATTCAATGTTTGAGCACCACAGTGTTCCTTATAGGGCAGATCTCCCACCCAGACCCTCGGCTCCTGCAGGATGTGCAAAGTGATCTCACATTGGAGAGGAGGGACAGCAGATGGGGCCTTCCAATTCTGAGAATTGTTGATGTCCTCTCAGAGAAAGCAACCTCTCCCTATCCAGAAAACCACAGCAAAGGCCTCCCTCTCTCTTGCAGAACAGAAAGATTCTCTTACCCACCTTCTCTCTGTCCCACTCACAGACACACCCTCTCACTGGGCACAGTGGGCCCTGAAAAGCTGCCTTCCAGGGCTTTCTCTCTCTCCCTGGGTCCACAGCCAAGGCCAAGGCCAAGCACAAAGGCTTCTCCAGGCTGCTCTACACTGAGCAGTTCAGTTCATATACATCAGGCACAGGTGCCATCCAACCTCAGCTTGATGGGAAACGTTTTCCTAAGAGACTATTTGTGGTGATAATCGTTCATTCAAAATGATGAGCTACAACCACCACAAGCAGGAATGAGCATAGTAGAGCAAATTTAGATTTAAAATAAAAAATGAAGAGCATGGGCCCAGGACAGTGTGATGCTGTAGTAAGTTTAAAAATATAAAAGAAATTGGCTAGAACCTGGCCTTAGATCATCAAGATCAAGGGTTCCGTTCCCTGTACTGGCCAGCTACCGAAAAAAAACAACCAACCAACCAAACTCATCAAAAATGTAAAACAAAAAAGAAACACAATCCTAATAATTGAAGCTGTACAACAAGGGAGGTCCCGGCTGCCCTGGAGAGGCCTGCTCAGGGAAAGGGGTGAAAACCAACCAACCAAACTCATCAAAAATGTAAAACAAAAAAGAAACACAATCCTAATAAATGAAGCTGTACAACAAGGGAGGTCCCGGCTGCCCTGGAGAGGCCTGCTCAGGGAAAGGGGTGGACGTGCGCTATTGGGGACAGTGGAGAAGGGATCCAAGTGCCAGAGGCGACTGCACAGAAGCCTCTGCTCTTCCACCCTGGGTGTCCTTTTGCTCCAAGTCACAACTTGCTCCTCTGTCTGCCACTGCTTTTGAAACTTAATACGTAGGCCCCCACCAAAAGAAGCCTTAGCTTTATCTAAAATGCAGAGATACGACATCCAGTCTTACCAAGGAATTGGAAGATGAGTATTTGTTGTGAGAAAGGATTCAGGGAATCAGCACATAACAAAAGGGAAGTGGGCTGTTGATACCGCTCATTTCACCTGACCTTCAAACACAAGGGGCCCAGAGGCCACACAAGAGATGATCAGCGTCGTGTTAGACTTGTCCCTAACTAATTCACCTAAAGATCCAGAGCATAGCCTGTAGCATTAGCTCTTCAGTTCACCAACTGTGCTAATTATTAACAAAATGCAAAGGCAGAACCTAGGGGCCACCTGGGCGTCTGCGGCTTATACTACAGCTGGCCAGTGCACACAGCGGGAAACAGAGCAAGGCAGCACTCCAGCACCTGCATCACTTCTGTAGAGCTGTTGGACTGGGGCAGGGCCCTTAACCTCTCTGAGTTCTGCTTTATAGGTCCAAGAGGATGATGGTTATCACCTGCTAGTTATAACTTGTCCGTCTGCTGCTCAACTGATCTTTCCAGCAGTTCCACAAAGCAAATTCTATTACTAGTTGTACTTTACAAATGCAGACACAGCCTTGGCAAGCTGTGGTAGAACAGGGATTAACCCCACTGTGTGCGCCTCTAACCCCTCCCTACGGGACGCCTGGCCCCGCCCCCGCCCCGCCCCCAGCCCACCACATTCCTGCGTGTCTGTTTCAGACAGCAAGACCTCAAAGAGCTCTGGGCCCTCACACAAATCCACACGCATCTCTTCCCAGATTCGCCTCCTTGGGAGTTCTTACTGCGGTGTCTGAAACTCTCACTCTCGCTGAACTAAGAAGGGGAAACCCTTTAAATTTAAAGATTCTGGAGTAGGATTTGTGGGCAATGCCCGTCATTTTAAACAGCAGCAGCAGAGAGAACAGCAATTCCGTGGTCTCAAGAGGCTGAACTCCCTCCGTGCTGGGAGCAACAGCACCGCGGCTACTTCGCTTCTTCCTCCAGGGCTGCCCGGAACCTCTGTCCCGGCTCGGCCTCCGCCCCGCTGCGGCCTGGCAGTCGGGCGGGCACCCAGCAAGAGGTGGCACCGACGGGACGGGGTGGGGGAGGGAGGGGGAAGGCGGGCGCGGAACCGACCCTGGGGGACGG